CAATCAAAAATGAGAGTAACCGTCACTTTTGAAACCATAAAAATTACTGAAATAAATTTATTTTTTTACAAAGGAAATATTTTGAATAAACTTTCATATGTCTAAGTCAATATTCATTTGTTTTTAATTGGCTAAAAAGAGTTTAAATTTTGACTTCTATTCATTTTTAGCCGTGGAATTGCCCTTATAACACGAATATATAAATTATTAAAAAAAATTTAATATACAAATATATTTTCACAAAATGTTACAAAACTTATTCTTGTAAGTAATTATGTGTTAATTGAAAAAAAACGACTTTACTTTTAAATTTAATTACCAACTAATAAGTTTGCAACAATGACATTTTGTCTACTTTGTTTAATTTGACGTACTAACGTTAGTTTTTTGAGGCAATAGAGTCAATAAAACTTTGGACAAGACGCATTTTTTTTAATCGAAGAAAAGCGTTTTTTTGAAAATTAAATTTGTTAATGTGTGTTCATTATTACGTTTTAGAAAAAATAATATACATCAAACATTTTTTTTTTAATGCTCTTTCATATGAGATCATATCTTTATAGCACTTAGGGATCCCTTTAAATATACACATTTTTACAATTTTATTTTTTTGAGTAACAGTATCGCAACATTTTGAAAAATATACAATAATTTTCTAAACGCCATACTCTAGCCAGAAATAATTGATGACTGCCATTTCTCATCGAAAATATATTAAATATGAATCGTAGAAGTATAATATTTCATTTGAAATACTCACAAGCAATTTATTTTCATAAAAATATTTATTAATAGTTATTTAAATAACTACATGAAATTGACAAATTCGCATTATTTGTGCGTGACTTCTGTGCGTGATCATTCATAAGCTCCATATAAACGATTGCTGTGACTCTATGATTCATAGTGCGTTCCTGTAATTTTCTGGAAATCTTTACTAATGTTTAAAATATTATTTTAAAAAAAAAGTATACCTGTGAAACTTTTGTTTTCCGAGGAATTAAAGTTTATTTAACTAGTAACTAAAATAGAAGTTTTTCTGTTCCATGCGTGATTCTATTTCAAACTTTATTTATTTTTTGTTAACATTACTAATGCCTACTATTTTTTGTTTACGAAATATTTATATTGATTAGAATTAAATGAGAGTAAATTGGAGATCGCTAGTTTTATTTTTATGAAAATAAAAGTAAAAACATATACGAGTTTCTGTGCGTGATTTTTTAGAAATGCCTTATATATAAAATAGGATTATATTTAATATCACTGATAAATATTTACTTTTACTAAATAACCTTAGTATTCCATTTGAAAACATCCAATTATTTTATAAAATGCAACCCTAATTCTCAGGTTTTGCAAATTTCTACACCACTTAAAGATTTTATTAAGTTATGAACATTCCCATAATTTTATCATCTGATTCCAAACTGTTCAAAGATGTCTATTCAAATTTTGCCTTGACCAACAAAAATATATGATTTTGAAAAATGGTTTTGGCCTCTGCTACTGTTCTGTGTGCAATTGAAAGCTGAAAATGTGTACACTTACATATTTTGAGGCAATGAATCCAATAAATTAACTTAAGATATTTGATACTAAACATAACACCTTTAAATTTGACCTTTATTGTATCTTTAATTGGGCATGTTTAATTAAAAATTGATAATGTAGCTCGATTTTCTTTTTTTTCTTTTTTTAGATGTTGTCCCGAATAGTTTAGTTAGAGTTGTTACAAAGATTCGGGAAGTGTTCTTCTTTTAAACAGAAAAAGAATCTGTCAAATTAACTTAAATTTGTTACCTATAAAACAGGAATTATGAAAAATGAAAGGCAAAAAAAGTTGGTACTACTATGTGCTTAATACACAAAAGTTGATATTTAATAATTTTCAGACGATTTTTCAACCCAGTTTCTTTGTTTGTAACCTTGTTATGAACAAAGAAACTCGGTTGAAAAATCTTAAATTTCAAAAAATTATAGTAGTTTTTTTCTCTTTTTCGAACTTTGATTTTGATCCTAAAAGTTAGAAATCATTTATAGGCGAAAAAAATATTCCTACTCATGGTACTGTTTGGACTACTTCCCCCTCCTCCTTTTAATCTTCTCCTAACCTCCCCCCCCCCCCCACCTCCTCCCTTTTTTGTTACATCTCACAGTGGTCTGAAAAACATGATTTTTGGTTAAAATTAAAATTTTGATGTTTTTATGCTAAATTGATAATGCTGAATCTAAATCCGAAATCAGTTTTTGATTTAAAGATTTTGTTGTTCAGATATAGCATAAGCGGTCCAGTAGATCTTCGAAAAAAAAAGCGGTCCAGTAGATTTTGTTTTTTCTCATCTAACCTTTTATTTATTTATTTATTGATCTATTTTGTGATTATTTCACTTTATATTGATCACTCTCAAATCAAAAAAGAGTTGATTATTATCAAATAATCAAAACAACAATATATATGTATATATATATATATATATATATATATATATATATATATATATATATATATATATATATATATATATATATATATATATATATATATATAATGATTAAATATGTGGTATAAAAACAACACAAATATAGTGTCATTATGGTTTGAAATGAATATAAGTTTCTTTATTTTAACTATCTGTAACTGATTTTTTTAGGAATTGCATTTTATTTGCATATAAAAAATATGCATTTTTTTAAGTATTTTTATCTCTTTTTTTTTTTTGTTAATTTAACTCCTTAATGCTGAGAACATTATGGCCACTACAGACAAGGAGGTTGCTTATTTGTGGTTTTTTTTTTGGTTAATTTACCTCCTTAATGCTGAGAACATTATGGCCACTACAGACAAGGAGGCTGCTTATTTATGGTTTTTTTTTTTACAGACAAGGAGGCTGCTTATCTGTGTGTTTTTTTTTTGTTAATTTACCTCCTTAATGCTGAGAACATTATGGCCACTACAGACAAGGAGGCTGCTTATTTGTATTTATAACCCTCTCTCAACCTTGACCGCTGGCCACTGTGCGGAGAATCGCGTTAAGCGCGGTATTGCCATCTAGTTTAATATATGGAATATTTTATAAAAATAAAAATGAATTTTTTAATTATTTTTAACAAATTAGGTAGCAAGTACAACTGTATTAAAAAAAAAATGTTTTTGAAATTTTGATTTTTTTGTTTAGTTTTGAGATTTCTTTGTTCATAACAAGTAAAATCAGGGGTGCAGAGTCCCAAATGGGCTCCTGCTTTATATCTCTATTTTTTCCTGATCTCTGGTGTCCCGAAGCTCTAAACAAGTTTGTTGACCTAAGATCTGCTAAAGGAATGAAATTTATAAGATACAATGACTTTTTATTTTTAGTCCAGAGTCCTAAAGTTGTTGCTACCATTACACCTAAAGACTCTGGGTTTTTTCCCTCTTGTAGTCCAAAATCTTTTTTATATTTTAGAGTTCCTGGATACTAAAATCTAGAAGAAATAATTTTTTTGTGGCTTATAAACCAGAGTCTTTTTTGGAACTCAACATCCTTGAGTAAAATCTAACAAATAGAGCGAGAGGGTTTTAATAAGCTCAGGGTGGGTGGGAAAATTTTCTTGAAAATTATAAAAGATCAACTTCTGTTTATTAAGCACTTAGGAGTACCACAATTTTTTCAAACTTTGCCTTGGACCAACATTAATCCACCATTTTGAAAAATGGTTTTTGTCTTTGTTTTTGTTCTGTGTGCAACGGAAAGCTGAAAATGTGTATACTTACATATTTTAAGGCAAGGAATCCAATAAGACAACGTAAAATATTTAAAAATAAACAAAACAACTCTAATTTTTGCATTTGTCGCAATTTTACTGGGCATGTTTATTTGCAAAAATGTCAATATAGCTTGATTATTGATTTTTTTTTTAGAGAGTTGCTTTGAATAGTTTGAATTTAGTTTATAATTTCTGTTTTATAATTAACAAATTTAAATGTATTTGACCATGTTTTGTTTTTTGTTCAGAAAAACAACTTTTCAATTCTATGTAACAACTCTAAGCAAACATTGAGCATAACTGATTTTTCAATAGCAAACTGTTAATATAATATAGCAATATGTATATATATATATATATATATATATATATATATATATACATACATACATACATACATACATACATACATACATACATACTTACATACATACATACATATATACATACATACATACATACATACATACATACATACATACATACATACATACATACATACATACATACATACATACATACATACATACACTAGAGAACCTAGTTATGTACTAATTGCAGCTAATCACCTCAGATGAGTCACAATTTAAGTTGCCAGAGCAGGTGGGCAAACTCAATTTGTTAGGGTTTGGGTTGAGTCTTGGTTTGGTAACTTATCCTAAGGCCAAAATCTAGGTGTGTATATATACACCTATATATTTGTCTTAGTATGAGTAAATGACAAGCAGTAAAAAGCTTTTTTAAAACATAGTTGATTAGGGTTGTTGTCAGTCTTTTACAAAATTTTTCTATGTAAAAGCCAGACATCTGGCCCTGGTTAACTGCCTGATCTGATTTTTCCTTAAGTTTTTTATCAACTTTAAAGACACTTTCAATGTTTCAAATAAAGTTTTGATAAACAAGGTCATGGATAAAATTAAAAGATTTTGATAAATTATTAGGTTTTTTATATTTTTACAACACTATTTTCTTTTTGCTCTGTTTGTTGGGTGCAGTTTCGTTTGTTTTTGTTTTGCTTAGTCTCAGCTTTGTTTTAACTCTACATGGTTTTAACTCTCCAAGTTTTTTCAGTTTCATACTTGATTGGTTACAAGGCTTTAAACATATACAAATTTTTGAAAAATTAAAAAGACATTTGTAATTAAAACTTGCGGAAATGAACTCTTTTCGATTTTTTTTGTAATATAGTTCTACATTTTAATTTATGATTTTTTTATAGTTTTAGTTATAAGTAAGAACTTTATATTATTTAGAGATTTCAAGTTCACCAAACAAAGATTCCAATATTTCTTTCAAAAAAGGTATTTATTTTAATTGTTATTTTCTTTGTTTCCTTTAAAAATAGTAAAAAAAAATTATATTCATTTCATTAAGTTTTAACTTTTACATTAAACCTTCAACTTTTTTCATGTTTTTATGTCTACTTACTTCAGTTGCTAATCTTTTTCTAATTAATTTATTTAGTTGCTTATTTTATTATTGTTGCTAATCATCAATTTTGTTTATTGTGTTACTGGCTTATGTAAATTTATATCTCATTGGTTGCTTCAAAAAAATCTTTTTTATACAATGCTCACATAATAGTTTACTGATGAATAACAAAAATTTATTGTACTACTAATTTAAGTTTTGCATTTATCAGGGATTTTTTAAATAAATTTTTTTTATAATTTTATAAAGTTGATATAGATAAAACAAAAATTGTAATTAAGTGTTTTATTTTATGAAACTATAAATTAAAACCCATGTCGATGGTAATATCATTAACAAAAAGATACCCTCTGACTTTTTAAAAAGAAAATATAATTATTTGAAAAACTTATGTTTTTTATTCGCTTAGTATAGACAAAATGTGTCAAACGTCGAGAAAATAAACAAATGTTTTAACATTTTAAAAAACGAAACATTCCAAAACAATTTTAAATAATAACATTTCTACATTAATGATTTAAAGAAGTTTTGCGGTAATTAAGTAAATTGGTGCAGTTAATGTTGATAAATATGAAAAGCAAATAAAAAGAATTTAATGACGTCAAAAATCACATTGTGCTTATGCGTTGCGCAGTTTTTATTCATCACAAAGCCTGAAATAAATTGTTTAATTGCATATTATTATTTTATCTTAGGTCTACTAAATAAAATTAGATTCATCAATTGTCTCTCTAATACTTGATCAAAGTTTGCGTTTAAAAATTTTGTCTTTTTAGAAAAATTTTAATTTTGTAGCAAAAGCAATTGAAATGTTTTTTAAATCATTTGTTTAAATAAAAACATCAAATAGTGTTATTTATTGACTAGTTTAGGACATTTATAGTCATAGGCCAAAGAAAGGGCCAGGGGGCCTCTGACCAACTCTGCCCTCCCCCCAATCTCCCTGGATTTTTTTATTTATTAATTTTATTGATGCATTAAATGATATAATAATAAATAATTATTAAAATTCAATTTAAAATTGCAAATTTTTTTTTGTTAGTTTTAGTTTGAAAAACAATTTATTTTTCATTATTTCAATTCAAATCGGAGAATGCTTACCTTTTTTTTATACCAAAAACATACAAATGTTTTGTTTTTTTCTTTTTAAAGGTTGCACTTTACCACTTCTTCATATATTGCTAAAACACAAAGTAGATACTTGAAAAACTGTAAAGAAAATCTTAACCAAAACAAATGCATATTTTTAGAAGATTTTGCTGAAGTTATTAACATGTTGTTCAGGATGAGGTTTAAAGTTATCACTGGAGTAACTATATATATCAAAGAAAATCTACCTGATGTATCAAGCGTGAAATACTTTTCCGATGGTTTTGCAGCACAATTTAAAAATTCTAAAAACTTTATCAATCTTTGTCATCACAGTAAAGACTTTGATTTAAATGCTGAATAGGTATTTTTTGCTACCAATCATGGTAAATCCCCCTGTGATGGTATTGGTGGGACTGTTAAAAAAGTAGTATGTCAAGAAAGTCTAAAACAAATAACTACTGGGCAGATTTTAGATGTTAATTTAATGTACTCTTTTTGTAAAACCAAGATGAAAGGAATTTGTTTTAAATTTTTTTCTAAAGATGAAATTGACTAACATGAGCACAATTAGAAAAAAGATATTTAGGTGGAATAACAGTTCCTGGCACAAGGGCGTATCATCATTTTATTCCAATTGCTTTTAACACTAAAGTTATAAAAAAACAAGTATTGATACAGGTATTGAAATTTTTGATATCATTCCAAAAAGCAAACATAATAAAGTGATTTCATTATACATTAAAAAAATGGATTATATTGGATATTTTTTTGACGGATTTTGGTGGGTAGCGATTGCTTATATAGGCAGTTGGTTAAAATCATGAAAAGGTCTTAGTTTTGAGTGCTTACTTTATATAAAGATATTGATTGTTAAAATGTTTGATTATTGTTAAAATGTTAAAAACATTTCAATATTTTTGGTTTTAAAATTTATGGTTTTTAAAATCGTGAAAAAATCTTAGTTTTGTTTCTCAAACTAAAAAAAAAAAATGTTTTTAAATAAAATTTTAATAATTATTTATTACTATATCATTTAATGCATCAAAAAAAAAATTAAAAATATTAAATAAATCCAGGGAGACTGGGAGGAGGAGGCAGAAATGGTCAGAGGCCCCCTAGTCCTTCTTTGGCCTATGACTATAAATGTCTAGTCAATAAATAACACTATTTAATGTTTTGATTTTGCAATTGAGCAATTGAAATGATTTAAAAAATATTTCAATTGCTTTTGCAACAAAATTAAAATTTTTTTAAAAAGACAAAAAATTTTTAAGTGCAAATTTTGATCAAGTATTAGAGAGACAATTGATGAATCTAATTTTATTCATTAGACCTAAGATAAAATAATGGTATGCAATTAAACTATTTATTCAAGATTTTGGACCACAGTCTTCATTTTACCTCCAAATATCATGAATTTATAAGTCAATAATTTTGAACAAAATTAGATAAACAAGGCATTTCCTTAGATAGTCGAGTCTTGAGGGTGCTCTTTTTGGATTCCGCAAGTAAAAATCTATTCGGTACTAAATTTTAGGAAATTTCCCCAAGCTATTATGATGATACTATATGTTGCATTGTAGTCGCTTCAGATAATCACTAAAATGCTGATTCAGTATTATTTTAACTGTCAATATCTCTGGAACCTATGTGTATTTTTAACTAAAATTTTTACAATTAGCATAATTTTTAAATATGGGCTGCAAGTGAGGTAAAAATGAACAAATTCTAAGACGTAAGGGTGTCGAAATTGTTTTTTTTTTTTTGATGATATCATATGGAATTACCCTGCAATAGTAGTGTAGTGGCACTTTTGAAATCGATGATTACATCATTTTTCAGGAAAAATTCTTTGAAGGTTTTAATATGCACATTTTGGAAAGCAGCTATAAAAAATTTTGAAATAAAATTTTGTTCATAAAAATTTTTCATGCACAAATATTTTAACTAAAAACAACTTTATTTTAGGTTTAAACTGAGTTTTATATTCATTAATTCTCATAGTTGCTAAAATATAAAGAAGCAACAATCTTTTTTAACTAACTTTTTTTAAACTAATTTACTCCAACTAGGCTGCAGGCAACTACTTTTTATGTTGGGACCTCATAAAACAAAAATATTTTTAAAATGCAAAAAAATAGTTGACATATTAATCAAAAAACCATTAATTTGATCTGCTAGATTTCAAGTTTTTAATGGTAATTTATAAAAAAATTGATTAAAGTTAAGTTATATAAAAATGTCGTTTTATTAATTCTTAAGCATCGTTTTTAAGTTTCTTTAATATTAATTTTTATATAGTTTTTTTTTTATCTGCATTATTATGACCTGATTTCCTAAAATGAACTGGTTTTTATGACATTTTGAAAAAACATTCAGCCTAATGGAAAAAAAAATAATAATAATAACAAAAAAATGAAAATAAATATTTATAATACGTTTTTGATGCAGTATTCAAAAAATGTACTTGTAATGCTGAAATAAGAAAGTAATATTTTCAAAATCAACTTATGATATCCTCTTATGAACCTTCTGATAACCTCATATGAACCTTATTATAACCTTCTATTAACGTTATGATAACCTTGTGATAACATCCTATGAATCTTTTGATAACCTCCTACAAACCTTATGGTAACCTCCTATTATCTTTATGATAATCTTCTATGAATCTTATAATTTCCTTTAAAACTTATTATAACCTCCTATAAACCTTATGATAATATTTGATAGCTTGATGTTAATGTTTTTAAAGTTGTTGTTCATCTTTCTTTCTTTTTTTCGGTTTTGCTAAAGATCGGCTTAATTTAATATTCAGTAAGAAATTATAAAATTCATAAGAGATTTAATAAAAAATTCTAAAACATTTTAGTAAAAAAAGAAAGTTTTTGTAAGTAATAAGAAGGTTTCAATAACTATAAAAAGTTATAGCTAAAAAGTTTAACAACTTTAGGTATTTACATTTATTAATCATCCACAGTATATATTACAGGGTAAATTATTATAAGGTTACATTTTTGAAAAGAAGTAAGTTTATCTTGGAGTATTTACTTCAATATCTTTGAAGATTTTCCTTTGCTCCAATGAGTTCCAGAACTCAATTGCATAGCTTAACCTTTAAAGATCTGTTTTAGGAATTTATTTATTGACACAATAACTTTTAATTTTTTTTGTTTTTTGTTTTGCATTAAGTTCTCTAGATAAGGTTAATTTTGATTGCATAAACCTATGACATCATCTAAAAAAAGGTACCTTTCAGTTTGTTTTTGAACTTTATGCTTAAGTGAGTCTTAATAACAAATAAAAAAGTTCAAATTAATTAAAAAAAAATTGAATAACAATTTTAATAAGAAATTCTAAAATTTAAAAGAAATTTAGTAAGAAATTTCTAAGAATTTTCTTTAAAACCAAAACCAGTTTTTATAAATAATATTAATAAATAAAAAAATTTGTGTTTGAAATGACAACTTTATGCTTAAGTAAGAAACAATAACAAATAAAAATATTTGTCAAATATAATAACATTAACGCAAATAAAAATTTTGGTTTTATATAACTTCAAATCAATAAAAATTAATTTCACAAAAAATTATGATTGTGATGATGACTTTAATAGAAATCATTTTTTTTTATTTAGATTTGTTGAGGATGTCGGCTGAACTGAAAAAATTTTATCTTAATTATTATGGGAAAATTGGTGAACTTCAACCACTATTAAAAGCATCTGCAAATGTTGATCTCATACAAAAATTTATTGATCTATGTATTGTTGATGCAGTTAATGCTCAAATAGACGCTTATTTCAGTGTTGAACGAAAGGAATTTCTTGAAAAGCAAATTCGTTATACACCAATTCCATACAGTGATATATTTATGAAAGAAAAACCAGTAATATTAATATCTGGAATAGCTGGTATTGGGAAAACATGGTTGCTTAGAAAATGTTTGCTTGATTGGTCAAATGATTTAATTTGGAAAAATGTTGAACTTGTTTTCTATTTGGAATGCAGGATACTCAATTCATATGCAAATATTTCTAATATTAATGAATTATTAAATATTTTCTACAAGGATATTGTAAACGATTTTAAATTTAGTAGTCACACTGCACTGTTTATAATTGATGGGTTGGATGAGTTTAAATATTTCAATGAGCTATTAAATCCAAGTTTGACTAGCACTCCGATTGTTAAAGTTTTACGAGAAATTCAAAAATACAAACATGTAATTGCTGGTAGAGTTTATGCAATTGATCAATACCAAAGTATATCTACAGAACATAGCGATAAGTTAACCATTCAAGTAATGGGGTTTAATGAAAATGGAATAAATAATTATGTAGAAAATCATGTTATAGAAGAAAAAAAAGAATTCGTAAAAACAACTTTAAAGGAGTCTTCAATTGCAAAAGCCATGGCATCTGTTCCGTTTTATTTATCTTCAATGTGTAAAATTATAAGTGATTCGAAAAAAATAGATACAAATTCTTTCTTAACAATGACAGATTTGTATACAAATATTTTTTTATACTTTTTGCGAAAACATATCATAAAAAACAATAAACTGATATATGAGATAATGGAAGACAGTTCCAATAAAAAGTATATTTTAAATATATTTGTAAAATTGCATATAAAATGTTTGTTAACAATAAAATAATTTTTTCCAAAGATGAAATTCAAGCTTTTATTAATGACTTTGATAAAAATGAAGGTAATTTCTTTGGATTTATAGAAAGGATTGAAACAGATCTTGGTTGTTATTATCAATTTGCACATTTGACAATAATGGAGTTTTGTGCATCTGTATATGCATATAATTGTTTAAGTAGTGATGAGATTATGGCCAATGAGAGGCTGAAGATTAGTTGTTTATCAATGATTTGTGGATTAGCCAATAAAAACCCAAACAGTTTATTAAAGTTTCTTGTTAACCTGGATTCTTCTAAAAAACACTATAAAGAATCTTCATTTTTGTTTTCTATTTTGGGTAAGTTTAAGAACTTTGTTGCATTTTGGTGAGCTTATTTTAGATATTCATTTAGGAGTTTACTAAGATGTAAATAATATTGAGCAGTGGTTCCCAACTCTGTGCTCCCTGGTACCATAGCGCCCGCGTAATGATTTATATATGCCTGCCACTATTTGACAGTGAAATTTTTTTATTCATAAATAATAATTAAAATGCTAAATACTTTTATTTATTTGTTTTTTTAAGAGTTTTAGTTTTTTTGATTGCTAAGGTTTATTAAATACATTCATAACTTTGCAATATTGTATGTATGAGTGCTTCATTTGCTGACAGTACTTTCGCAATTTGTTTCATTGCAAGGCAGATGCTTTCATGCAATGGGAGCACATCACTTTTTGAAAATACAGAAAACCTGAAGTAGTCACATGTATGTACTGTCCCAAATGACAACTAAAATAATTAAATTCATTGTGTAACCCTTGCTCGCTTTATAAATGCTGACAGTTATTGTTATTGTGGTTTTGGTTATTTTTAGATAAGACTTTTTATTTATTCATTTTTTTTTGGAGGAAGGTAGGGGGGTTTGTTTTTTTAAGTTAGGTATAACAAAATGATTCTTCTTAAAGCTACAAAACATAATTTAAAAATTCACAAACTAGTTGCACAAATCTTATATATGCATACAGAGCTGTTCAGAAAGTGAATCACCCAAGCAATATACCCCGAACCTATGGGGGCCCCAACAGTGGCAATAGCATTACGTTTTTTTTTTTTCCTTTTTTTTTTCCACATCAAGAGCTTCAAGTTAAATAATAATAAAACAGCTCATAAAGTTCTTTTTTAAAAATAAATTTAGTGTTGCATAACATATTGATGTTCATCTTTATGTTCTACAAAATAGGGGTTATGCAACATATTGATTGTCCATATTTATGTTCTACAAAATAGGGGTCTGAATTTTTTTGACATTTGTTGACAGGGTGAGGTCAAGACAATTTGACGTCAACTATGTTACTTTTTTTTTTTTAATTTAGTTGATTTAAAAAAGAAAAATTAGTCAGAGTTTGCAGTTCTGTGTTAAATGTGGTAGTGGTGTATTGGAATATAGCTTGCTTCATAAGGAAGAGGTTTGAAGTTCGATTCCCACCAGGTCCCTGGTAGTACCATGCTTATCTTGTTTCTCCGCGCAGCAGCCTTGTTTGTGTTTCGAAGTTATAGAGTTGAGGGAGGGTTATAACCACAAGTAGCCTCCTCATCTGTAGTGGCCTTCTTGGCCTTGGGGAGGTGAATTACAAAAAAAAAACATACCTGCTAAACCTTCAGTATTTCAATTAAGTTAGTTATATTTCTACTTCTTAAAAACTGTGTTGTGCTTTAAAAAGACAACACAAGGTGTTTCATTACGGAAAATTTTTGAAAATCGTTAAGTTATATGCACAACGCCCTAAGTAATGAGTCAAAAAAAGTCTGTAAATTTTTGAAAAAATTCAAAATATCATTTAGAGGTCTTCATCTTGAAAAAGTAGCGTTGTTTTACCCTTTTTTCAACTTTGAATTTAATTTCGACATAAAATGACATTAATTCTTAAAAAATAAATAATTTCTTATTACGTTATATTCTTGGTGTATATAATAAAGGTTATCAGATGAACATTTGGCCAAATTTTCATAAAAAATAGTTAATGTCTAGAGGTCACCGTATTATAAAGTTTACTTTTTTTAACATATTTTATTGCTAAAAAATTCTTTAAATGCTTCAAAAAACATAATACTTTAAATAAAATGCAAAATTTTAGTTTTAAGCATAATTGACCACTAAAAGTCGTTGCATGATTAAGTATATAAATTTCATAAACTTATTTAAAAAAAGGTAGTTGTTATATCAATTAGCAAAATTGAAATTTAAAAAATTATTTTTAAAACTAATTTATTGGATAAGCAAATATTTTATTTTCATTATAACAATGAATCTTAGAAAAAATAATCAATATTACTTAATTGGTAACCCTGAAACCAATAAATTATCAAGCTACAGTCGCCTACCAACAATAAAATATGTGTTAGGTAGATACTCTCATTTACATTTATATTCAAAAAACTTCTGCAAGAGATATTTTTAAACTTGTTCTTGGTGAGCTGAAGGAAGTTTGGAAAAAAGCTGAAATACCGATTTTATCAAATAACTTTTGTTATTCATTCCTTTCCAAATTATTGGGGGAAAAGGTAAATATAAAAACACTTGATCAAGCAAGTTGGAATTTTAAAGTTGGAAAAGAATAAATTGTCAGATTTTGTAATGAACTTGAGCAATTTTTTAATAAGTTGATAATATCACGTAGACCGAAATGGAAAGTATAGCAAATTAAAACTTTGTAAATTGCAACTTTTAGCTGTTTTGTCTCATTAGGTTTTTTGTTTGGAGTTTTTGTAGTTATGGAAACTGGAAATATGTATTTAAGTTAGAAGTTTAATAACTTTTTTACCTTTAACTTTTTTTTTCAGAGCAACCATTTTATTTTTAAATAGTTTTCTATAAAGTAAACTTTTGATGTCTTTTTTGTTTTAGTTGTAAATTATTCTATTTAAAAGATGTTTTATTTTTTTCTGTTGAACTTTTTTTTTTTTTTTTTTTTGTAGGAAGGGGGGTAATTTTTCAAGCTTTTTTTTTTTAATGGACAGCCCTAAATCCTGGTCTGCAAGAGCTTTTGTTTAAATCATATCTATATGCTTATCTTGACTTTTGCAGAACAAGATTTGATCACATGATCAAATCTTATTTTAGAAATAAACTTGAATTGCTTCACATAAAACAAACTCTTAATGCAAGTTTTGGAAAGAAACCTCTTGCCTATTTTACTTATTAAACAAAGTTTCTGAAATAAGACTTAGGGAACTCTTTAGAATTAGAGTGATTGCATTGCGTAGTTTTGCTTCAATTCCAGTGACAGTGACCTCAAGTGAGCGTTTATTCAGTAAATTGAAGCTTATCAAGAATCTTTTGCGCTTAACTAATGGAAAAGAATGAACTAGTGACCTTGCCATTTTAAAAAATTTAACGGGTCTTTTATTTTTTTGGAGTAAGGGGCGTGGGCCTCCAAGCTGAAGGAAGCTTTAGGGCCCCCAAATCCTGGGAATGGCCCTGTATGTATATAAATCCTCCAAATTAATTTAACCCTTAATTAATTTAACAATATTTTGTTTTTGATTTAGAACCTATAAATATTTTATAAAAATTGTTCATAAGAAAAATTTATGTCTTGAGTTCACTTTTATGAGGCTTTTAAAAACTAATTTAAATTCTTTTCTTTGCATGAAATACCTTTTAAATTCCATTCAACAAGAAATTTAAATTTTTTTTCCTATAGAAAAAAAAATGTTGCAGTATACCTACACTGATAAATTTTTAGAGAGCAAAAATTAAAAATTACATTTGTATTAACAATTTAAATTTGTATTACCATTTTTATTTTTGCAAAAATTATTTTAAATTACATTGGTAATAACAAGCGTTAACATTTGTAATAACATTTAAAATAAATAACTTGAAAACAATAATTTTTCTAAAATAAAGTCATTATCAGTTTTAAAAGGTAGTAATTCTAAAATAAAGTCATTATCAGTTTTAAAACTTTTTATTTTATATCTAGTTTTTATTTGTGTAATTTTGTATTTTGTATGCTCAATTTAAATCTTTAAAGAATTTTTATAGTCAAAAACAACATAAAATTGAAAAAAAATTCTTTAAAAAAATTTTTTTTATTGTGAAACTTTTTAATTCTTTTGTTCATTTCTTATATTTGCTACTTCAAAGTAATAATTATATATATATATATATATATATATATATATATATATATATATATATATATATATATATATATATATATATATATATATATATATATATATATATATATATATATATATATATATATATATATATAATATATATATATATATATATATATATATATATATATATATATATATATATATATATATATATATATATATATATATTATATTTTATATTTTATTTGTATATTGTGTATTATTGTTTTTATTTGTATAAAAATGTATTTCGTATGCTGAATTTAAATCTTTAAAGAATTTTTATGACTTTAAACATCCACTTTAAACAACAATTACGTGTTAAAAAAATTTTACAATATTTATTGTCACAAAAAATAAAATCAACACAAAAATTAAAATGAATTCCTAAACAAAAAAATTTTTTAGTTAAAACTATTAAATTGTTTTTTTGTTTCTTATTTTGTTCCTGCAAAGTATTAATTTAGCATCACTAAAAAAATGGTTTTTAGTTTATAATGGTTTTATTTGTTTGGTTTTTTTATTATTTTACTTGTTGTATATAACTTACCTAGTAGTTTTTAATCTTAAATGTCATTTTAAATAATTTTATGTGCAATACTAGATTATTAAAGATGATCTATTGGACATGAAGTTAACAAAAACAAATTAAAACACATAGTTTGTTTGTTTTTTATTAAAAAAGCCAAACTTATAGTATAAACAAAAATTTCAGAAGGTTTACTCTATTTTGATTATTTTATAAGTAAATGCGTATTTTTTTGAGATGCATAAATGATAAAATAATGCATCAGAAAGGGCGTAATAGTATATATGCAGGTGTGAGCATGAGTTCTGTGTATTATGTTGAACATCTAAGAGTATATTTCTTGATCTTTGTCTTGTGAAAAGTCTTGTTTTTGGTCTTGGATTGATTTTGTGATGTCTTGGTCTTGATTTTTGTCTTAAAGTCTTATATCTTGGTCTTGAGCAATAGTTAATTGGTCTTAGTTTTAGTCTTAGCTTTAACTGTCTTGACCACATCTCTGGTACTTAGAAGGCAAACTTTATCATTTAGATTTAAAAAGCTATAGTTTTGCAAAATATTGTTATATACTCTCCGAACTATGCAATTATAACATTACGCACTCTTCAAGGAAATTATAACAATTTTTTGTGTTGCTCTTTACGGGACTAAAAATAACAAT